TATAATTTGAGCAATGTTTATAAATCCCAGGTCTTGAAGATGATCTCTATAAAGATCGAAACGTTGGCACGAAAAAGATAATGTTTTTCTAAACCTGCGTCACACCAGACCGCATCTCACGATCGCCATATAATTATAATTATTATCGACATTTAGGTGAAAAGCACATAGTAATTAACAAGAGTAAAGAAATAATTATTCCCATCCCACATAAACAATCGAAATTAAGGCCGAAAACTGTATTATGTGATGATGTCTGTTTTAATTTATGCCTGTGAAAACTGAACAGGATGGAATCGATGAGAAAAGGGGAAACAAGATGGTCATGTACAATCTATCTGATATTATGGAAATTTTGACAAGAAATCCCATAAGTAAAAAAAAAACATGGTTTAAGGATGAATAGAAATTAACAGAAAAGCAATAAACGGACGAGAAAACGACTAGAACGCACTACATTAAATGAATAATCGTGGGAAGGAAACACCGTGAGATCTCACGAAAGTTTGACAAAAAAATAATAGAACAAAATTAAAAAATCAACTTTATAACAAAATATAATACATAGGACTGATATATCATGGATCAATGCATAGTTGAAATATATTGTGTGTACGCATAAATCATTGGTAGAGATGACGAAATTTAATTCAAAGACATTATATTTTGTGGTCTATTGACCAAATTACTTTTTTCAATTAATTAATCTTTTTATGTAAGGTTTTGGTTGGAATGAAAAAGCTAGTGCCACGAGCGGGATTCGAACTTACGACCTTCGGCTAAATACGCCGCTGCTCTACCACTAGAGCTATCGTCACGTTAGCTCAAGTTTTAGAGCACTAGCTTTTTTCATTTCAACCAAAACCTTATATAAAAAGATTAATTGATTGAAAGATTTAATTCGAAGTTTAGAACAAAAAGAAAATTAAAAATTATTTTAACAAATTGCAGATTTAATAGAAATGATGGAGTGTGTGTGGTGTTCAATCCTTTTTAAAAAGATAGTTCCTACTCACAGTAAGATGTTTTGCAATGATCCGGATTTCGAGCCCTTAGTTCATCATCAGATTTTATAACCAATTATTGCTTGTGTTCAATCCTTTTTATGTGTTTAATGTGAAAAAAAGTTAGAAAACAACTTACTATGAGTAGGAACTTTCTTTTTAAAAAGGATTGAACACCGCACTCACTCCATCATTCATCATTTCTCCTAATTTGCTAGTGAAAGCAGTGATGGATTATAACAACCTGATGATGAGCTAAAGGCTTAAATCCGGATCGTTTCAAAACAACTTACTGTGAGTAGGAAATATTTTTTTAAAAAAAGATTTTTTTTTTTAAATTGCAGATTTTCCTTCATTGATTATTGATTAATAAAATGGCCACGGAGAGCTTTAGTGAAGGTACACTTCATTTTAAACTTATTCAATTCACTATCCGATGAATTTCACACATTTCATTTGTCGCCGAGAATCAAATTGATTATACGACATTTGAAAAATGGCAAAAAGGAGGGAAAATTCAAAAGGTGTTGTTGAGATTGGAAGTTGGTGTCCGAGGGGATCGAGGTCACGATAGGTCAAGTGGTAGAGCAGCGGCGTATCAAGCCGAAGGTCGTGTGTTCGAATCCCGCTCGTGCCATTGACTTTTTTATCTTAACTGAAAACCTTAATTGTAATATATTAATTGGTCAAGCGAACTACGAAACTAGTGAATTGAATTTTATATACAATATAAAGATCCACTGTCATTACGCATCTTCCAGCCAGTTGTTCGTTCCCATGATGATTCATATCTAGGGAGGTTGTCAAATAGCCCTTGTAACATAACTTAAGTAAGTTATTTATGGTTGGAAACGAGTTTTGAAGGAGAAAGATCCGGACTATATAATATGACAGGAGATCGATACTACTTTTCCTTCCTCCGCGATAAGTCCTTAGTCGAGGGTGATGTGTCTGAAACAATTAACTAAAGCTGAGTAAAGCTGTGATAATTTGGCGTACATACTTTCTAACTTTCTAACCTAGTAGAGTTGAATGTTTATGGAACATCTATCAGGAACAATTTTTTTTTTTTTTACATTTATTTGTTACCTATACAGAATTGTATACTATACAAATATGTACACATGAATGATAAATCACACAGCACAACACTAGCACTAATGTCAGCACTGCAGCGGTACAACACATGCTTTGAGAGGCCAGCCATTGCTGGCACTCATTGTGTATGACTAGGTATCAAGGAGGTCCCGAGGCCATCGTCGGTTGAGGCGACGTGGTGGGTTGTCAGGATGGGAATGAGTGGATAGGGCTCAAGCAGTATGGTTAGGATGGTTCGAAAGATTGGTATGGAAGGTTTGGAATCTGGACTGGATTAGTTCGTTGGCAAAAGGAATGTTGAGATCTTTCTGGATAGTGAGGTTAGTGACATAATAAAGTGCTTTGACAATTTGTCTAAAGACTTTCGATTGGAAGGACTGGATGCGCTAGATATTGGAAGGCTTGGCCGTGCCCCACAGTTCTACTCCGTATGTCCGTCAGTCTGCTGTCGAGATATAGTCCCAGGTATTTGACTTGAGTGGGAACTGGTATCTCTTTGTTGTTGATGTACAATGGATGGCAAGACTGCTTTTTCAGCGTAAAAGTACACTGAGTGCATTTTTCTTCGTTCAGTCTTATCTTCCATTTTTTTACACCAGTCTTCGATAAGCTCAAGGTGTTCTTGGATGTTGGAGGTAGCTCGGACAGGATTCGAGTTACAGGATAGGATTGCGGTGTCGTCCGCGTAGATGGGGATAATAGTGTCAGGATGTGTTGGTAGGTCAGCAGTATAAATGATATATAGGACAGGACCAAGGATACTATAACGAAGGACCAGGATAAGAAACAAACTCATGACGTTGATCGAACTATCGTCCGAGGGTATCAAAATTTCGCCAGAAAACAACTTTTCAACCCGCATAACCATCATTCGATAAACACTCGTATCACTTAGATTTTTAGAATGATTTTTGAGGAATGGGGTGTAAATTCATCTTGTTCTTTTTCACTTCTCAAGGATGGCGTCTTTGTATGTTAACAATGTCCCTGGAACGTACCCGAGTTCTTGTAGGTGGATTTAATTTTACAGATTGCTGCAGAACCTCATCAATATCCAGTGATGCCCTGATTCCTCCCAAGAACGTACCTCCACAGATAATTGCTTTATCTCCAATTATTATTCATAAACATTAAATATAATTAATTCATACGACATTTTCTGTACATTACAACTACCTTCAATTAGCTAACAAGTAACAATGGTAAAGAAAATACAATAATAAAAAAATTGGAGAAAGTACCCATTGGCAGTACTTCAATGAGACTATAATGTTGTCTATTCAATTAAGACTAGTGTCATAATAACTGTCACCATGACCTGATAGAGATCTCGTTGCCATCGGTTTAATTGTCGAGGAGAGTTTGTAGGGATTTGTGGGGATGAGAGTTTCTCGATTTGAGGATTTATGGTAATTGAAGTTTTGAAACTTGCTGAACGGGAGCTTATTTATTACTTGAGCAAAAGGAATATTTCGGTCTGTATGAATAGTTTCGAAGGGCACACAAAATAGAGCTTAAAGATTTTTCTTAAGTATGTGTGGTGTTTAGAGACCGTTAGTTAATGATTATTTGGAGATCGTGAGATGCGGTCTGGTGTGACGTAGGTTTCAGAAAAACATTTTCTTTATCGTGCCAACGTTTCGATCTTTATTGAGATATTCCTTTATTATGAACAAAATATATTTTGCATTGTATAAATTCACTTTTTCCCACATCCTACGTGTAGTTGTTAAATGTAAACAATGTTTGTAAATCCCAGGCCCTGAAGATGATCTCAATAAAGATCGAAAGGTTGGCACGATAAAGAAAATGTTTTTCTGAAACTTACATCACACCAGACCGCATCTCACGATTTCTGAATAATTATCGATTAACGGTCACCAATCACCACAGGGCCTGGGATTTACAAACATTGTTTGAGAGTGAACTTTGTGTTCTTCTGTGTTGGCACTCTCAACACGACACACAAGAATGACACATCTACACAGAAAACAAACACTTTGAGTCCTGAAGATGATCTCAATAAAGATCGAAACGTTGGCACTATAAAGAAAATGTTTTTCTAAAACCTACGTCACACAGACCGCATCTCACGAACTCTAAATAATATTTTTTCTTAAGATTATTTATTGGTTTTTTTTCCCCGAACCCCAGTCAGTTTATCCATACTTCACTAAGGGCAGAATAAATTAAAGTTAACTGGACGAGGGATTTTTTCGGAGAGTGAAGGTTATGTGGGGTGATTTTTCAGGGTTGAATTTTATTTTATTTTCGCTTTTTAGACTTTAGTAGTGCGAAGTGTTGAAATTTTCTAGTGGAAACGACAGGATCTGAGTCGCAAATTGGATCGCTGTACCATCTTCTAAAAACGTTCGGGCAGTGTTATGAGGATGGAATGGGATGCCCAGCTGCGTACACATTTAAACGTGTGGAGGCCAGAACGCTGCCTTGAGGCACACCTGCGAGAATAAAGTATTTTGTTTCCCTAGATTTGCTTACAGACTGATGAATCTTCCTAGTTGTGTGATGAGTATGTTTTTTGAGCTTGGAAATCATACCAATGACGGATGATTTCCAAGATATAGCAAAAAAGATGTACGTAGGATGGAATTAATTCGGTAGGTAATGAATAATATGGATTTCCGTGAGGTTTTCAAAATTGAGGTGTAATCAGGTCGAATCTAAGAGTTTTACAATAATTTATGAATTTTGACACAGACTAACTCATTTAAACAAAACAAATCAATTTCTTAAAATAATCTGATTCTATGGCGTTCACTCGTAAAACATCATTAATGAGATGATGCTTCATACTTCGTTTTATGTATATAATATTTATGTAACAAGACGGCGAAGTAAATTTAGACCTTTAATCGGAGTTTACTTATAAACAAAAAATAAGGGTTATTAAATTTAATGTTCAAAGTTACAGGTGTTGTTTATAAAGACAATCCACTCCACATATTATTAACAATAAAACAATTGAAATTAATCTTTTAAATTAATATAATCTTCTTCAAGTTTGCTGGTATCTTCACGCGCTTCAATAAATTCGTTGGCCTCGAGCCCTTCGGCGAAGTACCAGTGGACGAAGGCCATTTTCTTGTACATGAGGTCAAACTTGTGGTTCAGCTTCGCGATGTAATCGGCCAAGCTAGTCGAGTTGGCGATGAGGGCGAGAGATGGGTCCTGGTCGTCCGTTTTTCCTTTGGGACTCGCGTTCATGCCGACTTTGAAGCCGGTCGGCGACCAATCGACGAATTGGACAGAGCTGGAGTTTTTGGCCTGGCTGAGAGAATCTGAGACCTCCTGCTGGCCGACGTCACCCCTGTAAATCAAGCAGCACGCGACGTACTTGCCCTTCTCGGCTTCTACCGTGGCCATCCGGTTCGTGCTTTCGAAGCAGGACTTGGTCAAGCCCCGAATCGACAGCTTTTCCGTCTTGGTCACACCGGGAAACTTGACCGGGGCGTACGACATGAAAGGGAAGTGAACTCTGGAATACGGGACCAGGTTGGTCTGAAACTCGTTCAGATCTACGTTGAGACATCCTTCGAAACGAATGCTTGCCGTTATCGTGCTCACGGCGTTGGCGACCAGCCTATTCACGTCGATGAAACTGGATTTATAAGAACTCACGTTTTTCTTAGACATGTTAAACAACGCTTCGTTATCAACGACGAACGAACAATTGACGAAATTCATCATTCGATGCAAACCGAGCACTGTGTTGTATGGTTCCAAAACCGCGGAACCCTGTAACAAAATTATCTCAAAAAATAATTCGATTAGATTGAAAATGCACTAATTTTATCCTGTAAGAGTGCATTTAACAGTTCTTAAATCAAAGTCAATCTCACCACATACCAAAAAACTTCTTCCAGTCTATCTACATAATATTTCTATTCCAACAACTAAGCACGCACGCTAGTTAGGATCATAACATTTAACTAAAACTTGCACACTATATACAGGAAAAACATCATCTAAGGTCTACTACACCTGTCATATATAAAAAAAATAAGAAAATAAGAAAAAATTATAACCCATTTTGCTATAAAGTGACAAGATGAGTCAAGACTCATTACATTTCTATGGACTTTTCCGGTAGAAAACCCGAACGTTGTTCAGGATTGCTGTGTTATAGTATCTTTGGTTGCAAAACTCGTAATTTTTAACATGATGTACTTTAAGGGTAGATTTCATAGTATACAATCCCTGACAGATAAAAGTGCAAAATGCTTTCTTCGTTCAACGAAACGTTCACGTCAGGTTATAAACAGGGCGAGGCAAGATTCCCATCCATCTCTGCGAATTATGCCTGGCTAAAATGTTGTCGATGGGTTTTCTTTTTTGCAGTATTTCATTTAAACTATTTTCATAGAAACAAGATATTCAAACGTTTACTGGAAAGCAGTCTAACTAACGGTTCAGAAAAAGACGACACTTGCACCCCTAGGACGATATGGTCTACCTCCAGGAGGATTAACACCATACGCTGACCTAAACATAGATTTTCCAAAATCTGGGTGATTCGGAGCTAGGATGGGACAGCAAAGAACATCGACGTATATCGTATTCAGTTATTCCAATCCAAAGTCCTCCTGCAATTTAAATACCCACTTATCAGAAACCATATTCACACCGACCTAAGCATACCCTGCCCTGTACCTCCCTAAATCCAGATACTCTAAATTTCCTTCCCAATTATCTTCTCGCTCTAAATCCATTAATCTTTTAATCTACGCCAGACGATTTCGGTGACTCCCGTGATCAGCAGGGTAGCTAGCGATGGTATTCCAGGGATGACCAGCCTTACGATGACTCGACTGGGCGACTTCTGTTCCAGCCATTTAAGCTGTTTTATTGACTATGTAACTTTTTACTGCGTATAAACAATAAAATTTCAGAACAAAACTTAAACATCATAGAACATTCTGGTCAATTGAAAGACAAGGACAATTTTCCTATGGTAAATTTTTACTTTTGGTGCAGCAATAAAATTCTTCAACTATTGGGATGATGAAAGATGACCTTAACCTTAAAGTCATTTTTGGTCTATTTTGGCCTAATACATAAAAGTTCACTTTAATTAGATTGCTACTTTGACAAACAATCGTGATATAAAAACAGGTTTTCAATATGAGTCAGTGCTTATTTCATAAAAACATTAAGCCATAGCTATGAGGTGGTAGTGTATTGAATCATGATCAACCCAGATCATCTTTTTTTGTAAACTAGATGAAAAACCGGGAAAGCTGATGTAGGGTTGATATGAGTGAGTGCTTATTTCATGAAAACATTAAGCCATAGCTATGAATTAATGTATTGAATCATGATCAACCTAAATCATCTTTTTTTTTGTAAACTGGATGAAAAACCTGGAAAAGTGATGTAGGGTTGATAAGTGATGACGCACATCTGGTGATATCATGCTTACATAGAAAATAATACTTAAAGTTTAATCACATGTTAAAACAAACTTAATTTTCATAAAATGTGGTAAAGATGTATGCACCTTGGATGGATAAACGGCTAGTTCTATATTGCACTTCTTCTTCATGTTGTCCGAGAGGTGTTCAAAAAGAGAAGAAGTGAAGCCCGAGCCAGTCCCTCCACCGGCGGAACGGAAGATTATGAAACCTTGAAAGGAATCGCAAAGTTCCAGCATCGAGGACAGTCTATCTCCGACTTGCGAAATTCGTTCAGACCCCATTATAAAGCCGCGTTGGAAAATATTCGCAGCGTCCTCTTTCCAAGTCAGAAAGTTGTCCTTGCCGAAAAGTTCTTTAACAATCACATCGTTTTTATCGCTGCCTGGAAGAGCGTATCGTTTCAGGAATGAACCCATACTGGAAGAAGGCGAAACTTTACCTGCCACCGACGGGTCCAGGTCGAGCAAAAGAGCGTTCGGGATGCATCTGTCGTCCTGGGTTCTGGTAAAGTGAGAAGAGAAGCAACTGCCATTGCACGCGGCTCCTTCTGTTATTTTCCCGTCCAATTGGATGCCGTGCTCCTCGCAGTACAGCTTCCAGAGCGGCAGAGCGAGTTGAATTCCAGCCTGTCCCAAGTGAAGAGAAATAACCTCCCTCTAAAAATAAAACACAGTTCAAACAAAAAAACTTTTTTGATTTTCTTTTCTCGCAAATACCATAATTTGGACTTTATATCATTTTTGAGTATTGAATAAAAGTGTAAATTACTGAAAATTTGGAAGATTTGCATTTAAATTTTGTAAGTGTCCTCTAAATCAAAACTGCATAACTAGATCAAACTCAAACATGTGTTTAAAAACTAAACATGTCTGGTAGTCATAATTTTTATATTTTGAGAATTCAGAGACTTTTGGTTTCAAATTAAAAATAAAATTGTACATGAAAAAATTGGATAATTGCTGCTTTGCTTTGGCTCCTAAAATCAAATAAATTCCAAAATAGATGCAAAATAGTAGTTCTTTGGTATCTCATCTTTCATCTCTAACCAACTTTGGACCCTAATGCAAATATACAGTTCGATATGAGCAATAGATGAATTACCATAGTTTTCATTTTATATAACTATACATTTCATCCTTACATCTTCACGGCTTTAGCCATTTTACATCGCATACAAATACATAACATGCAATACATCGTTTATGTTGGAGCAACACTCAAAGCGGATGTAATTTTATTTTTAAAGTTTTGTAAGCTATTATATATATTATATTAGATCGAGTCACGATAGCTCAAGTAGTAGAGTAGCGGCGTAGCCGAAGGTCGTGGGTTCGAATCCCGCTCGTGACACTGATTTTTTTATCTCAACCAAGACCTTACCTAGAAAGATTAATTAATTGAAAGAAGTAACTTCGTCAATTGACCGCTAAAACGTAAATGGATCCTTATAAATTTATAATAACAAATACAATGCACAGTCTGTTGGGGAATATTGGTAAATAAAGAAGTGAACAAGGGTAGAAATTACATAAACAATAGAAAATATGCCACTTTCTTGAATTTTGGAAGACTTAAGTAAATGCCAATTTGCTATGAAGTAACAATCGTCTGGTAGCGGTAACTTGGTAACTTTAATCCGGTAACTGCTTTAATCAACCATTAATTAAGGAGTTTTTATCATTTTTCTTGGTAAAACGGACAATTTATGCAACTTTGGTTGTATTAGTTAGCAAACATGGTATCAGTGCTTATCCGTATGTTTTTACGATCTTTTTCAACTGTTTAAAATGTCCCGGTTAGCCTTTATAAAATTAGAACTCGAGATATAGAATAGTTAAATCTCAGCATTTACAGCACAGCCGGATGCCTCAAACGTCCAAATGCCTGCTGGCCTGCGGAAATACGCCCACGTTCAAAATTTCAACTCTTCGAAGCTCCTTCGTCTGTAAGTAATTAGCAAAGTGGACTGCTGCTGTGCTGACTGTGCGTACATTTTGTTATCTAAGCGATAACAGTCATCATTTGGACTTATCATGACCACGATTTCATAACCACTTCTCGTTTGCGATTCTGATTCAGATCGGACAATTCTTTTCCATGGTCACTTAGTGCGTTCCATAAATCAACTTCTCATTGAATTAACTGGAATTAACTAAAAAGATAAGCGACGTGCGCCGAGGAATTGTACCAGCTGTGAGAAGATATTCACGTAGATTAGAGGAACCTTCGAAAAAGAAATTAAACTTATACAAGTGGATTTGCGCAGAGAATATATCTTTACTTGAGCTATTGGGAAAGTTAAAGTTAACAATAAATTACTTCGAATTATCAATATCTAAAACCTAATTTAGGAGAAGGAACATACAATTCGATGTCAGATTTAAGCTTTTGTTCACCAAAACATCACCTCTTTCAGCACTGATTCCAATAAACGGCGAATGCTCGTCCTGTGGGAAATCATAGAGCCTCGCCTTCATCACTGATCCGGCCCGAAAATCCCAATTGAACCTGATGTGTAGTGAGGATAAGAGAGTGTTAATTGTTAACGTACTGGATGATCCCCGGGTGGATTAGAAGGAATGGCCGACGGTGCTGGCCCGGGGGTGGAAAACCCTTCCCAAATAACCCCAGGAGGAAATAAATCAAGCGTTCGGGCCCGAAGGGGTGGGAAACACCCTTCTCAAATCCAATATCAACCCCCTAGACTTCGGATTACTTTGAACATCGTAAAAAGGAACCTTCATCTCTGTTTCACTGTGAAGGGCCCTTTGACATTCAGACCGCCCTCGAATTGATGTGAGTTTAGTTCAACCAACCGATGTAAATTTCGATTCCCGTTTCCGTGAAAATGGAATTGAAGAGGCGTTCCATAATCATAGAGCTGCGTCCCATAAAATGTCAATACAGAAGCCACACACTTGAGGAAAAAAGTTTATGTGAAATTTAATGACGTATATTACGGATTATCTAGGATAAATGTCTTCATATAAAAGTAAAAAAGAAACACGCCTGTGTTTGTTCATTTCAAGATTGCAAACATTATTACATGTTTTAGGGGAAGTTTAAAAAAAAAGTATAAATAAACCTGTAGGTTACTGGTACGAAATCCCACAAAATTCACTGCTCGGCATGTTTTTGCCACAAATGTACTACCCCCTTGAAATAAGACAGATTTTAACAGTTTAAATTATTTGGTAACAGCTTACGAAAAACGCCAAAAATCAATGTAAGTGAATTAAGTACACTACTAAAATTAGGCTCTCGAAGAGTTGATTTTGCCAGATGGATGACTTTATGTTCGCAGTTAGTCGCGACGGATGAGGGTATCGAAATGAAGAGATAATTTGGAGTGGAATTTGAGATATCAGGATTTGGCTAGTACAGGTTACTTATGGAATTCTAAGGTCTGCTTGTACAGATGGTTGGTTACTAGTATAGAAAAGAACTGCTTACTAATAAGCAAAATAGCGGAAGATTTTTAACAGGAAGGATTGGATTCTTGATGGTTTAATTTTTTAGCCAAATATCTACAGTGACTCACATATTTGTTCACATCAGTAAACAATTTTCTATTATCTCTAGTTTGCAAATCTCGTATTTTTTAATCCAGACAACAGCAATAGGATTGAGTTCGTTGAACTGTTGTTAAACAAACATTCACCCTAATAATCTTTATTTATGTTTATACCTTTGAATAGAGCCAGTTTATTACGAGTCTTCGTGTGAACAGTTTTGTGACTCGGGTTACTTTATTGCAAATTTCGCAAAAACCATTAATAATTCGTCTCAATTTTTTTTTAAATGGCTTTATGTTCTTTGCATATTAGCCAAAGACAATGTATTTCGTAGTATTCGTTTTGGGGGGAAGGGTATCGTGAAAAAAAGGCCAGAGGTGACGGCGGGAATCGAACCCACGACCGCGGGGTCTACGAGCCGAGAGTCTCTCACCGCGGCCCCCTGCTTCCTGATCGTGAAATTTCAAAATATATATAAATTGTTATTATTGGGGTAATAACAAAACCTAAGAGATCTTCCGGAATTTACGATAGTTATTTTAAAAAGAAGAGGAATGGTCATAAAACAAAATTTTCCGAGGCCAAAAGGCGTTGTATCTACGCTCCGTTCGATCAGGACAGGTTGACAATGCTGTCCAAATTCAGCGTAGGTCGCGACCAAACAGTGGCTTGCTGATCGTGGTTTTAATGTCATGAAATGGCCCCTACAGTCACCTAACCTTAAAAAATCTTTAGCCGATGCTGCAGGAGACGCTTAAAACTTCGATCAACTTTGGGAAAAAACACAAGTTGAATGGGACCTAATTGATCCAGAACAGTACAAAAATCTCGTGAGAAGTATGCCCAAAAGGATGCAGTTTTGAAAGCCAAAGTAGGACATAGAAAATATTAAAGGACTTTCTATGACACAATCATATTATCGTTCGCACACGGTAATTTCTTTTATATTATTTTCACCAATTTCGTGGTCCGCTTGACCAATTAATGCATTACAATTAATTAAGGTTTTTAGTTGAGATGAAAAAAAGTTAATGGCACGAGCGGGATTCGAACCCACGAACTTCGGCTAGATACGCCGCTGCTCTACCAATTGAGCTATCGTGACCTCGATCCACTCGGACATCACCATAAGGTGGGGTTGAGATAGGAAGTTGATGTCCGAGTGGATCGAGGTCACGATAGCTCAAGTGGCGTATCTAGCCGAAGATCGTGGGTTCGAATCCCGCTCGTGCCATTAACTTTTTTTCATCTCAACTAAAAACCTTAATTAATTGCTTTTATATTATTTTAATTATCATGATAAAGGAACATTTAATTTTTTTGGGTGTTTTTTGTGTTAAGATAAATAAAATTATTAAAACAACTTCGTTTATTTGATGTCCTACAATTGTTTTGTAAAGTAAATAATGATATAACCCAATTTGCATTCAGCTGTGAACGAATCTGTGAGTCACTGTACATAGGTGGAAGAGTTGTGTAAAATATTTCTTTGTTATTGATAGTGTGTCTTGAACATATGAATGGCTGTTTTTAGTTGTAACTTAGTTCAATTTTGCCATTTTATGTCGGTTATGTAATTTCATCTTTTGTAAAGTACAATATCAAGTATTTGACGCGACGTGCCTCAGGAAGTGGACTTTGTTTCAGATAAACTGAGGGAATTTACTGCGTTTGGGGTTAAAGGTCACAAATTGGGGTGTGTTTTCATTTGTTTTTATTCTCCATTTAAAGAACCATGCTTCTAAAGTAAGTAGGTGGAACTGGTAGGATAAGATCGAGGTTTCCGGAGAGGATTTCTGTATCGTCAGAAAAAGTAAGAGAGGGTGTGTTAGACTGTTGAGAGTCTTTTGTGTATATATGCTGAAAAAGAACAGATCAGGATGAGGAACACTGAAAGGACAGAATAGATTACATGGGTTGAGGTTCGGTAGGTATCATGGAAGAACTACCAGATTATAGGATGAGATAATATGAACTAGTTAAGAAGAATTTGAATTTCAGCAGTAGACCCCGGTGCCAGATTCCAGGGGAGATGTTGCAATGACATCTAGTACACTAGGAATTTGATGGAATTTGGTAATTATGGAAGCAAAATTGGTGGCCAGGAATAATGTTGTTTGTGGGTAGTATTTCTTCCAGCCGGGTGAAATTAATACGAAAATATTAAACATGCTAAAATAAACCGAAAATTTAAATGTGCGAGTTATTTTTTTATGAATGCGTGGTGATGATGTACATACAGTATGGTGTTTTACGACCAGGGTCTGCCCATGCTCGCTGCTTTTGTCTATGCCACGCGTTTGGCCGTCTTCAGTGGTGATATGTTTTTCTTCTGTGT